TTCCTTCATCTTGCAAGATCTTGGTCATCGAGCTCACAGCGTTGCTGGCGCAGATCTGCTGCCTTGAAAAACCGTAGAGAGACCGGGGCAGCGTCACCGTCGGTCAGCCGTAGCTAGCTACTGTTCCAATTCGGCGTCATAGCCAACCACTTAAGACGGGTAGTAGTTTAGTTTTGTTATGAGCTCTCGAAAATATGCGGTCCTGTAGTGGTAGTTGTCTTAATGCAGGCGTAAGAAAAACTTCTGATCGAGCGCGAAATGAAGGCATCATAGCAAACGGTTTATATGCGTGGGCAGATTGAACCGGTGCACTACCGACAACACTGGTATGAATCAGTATATGTCTGGGTACGCATGAACGAAATGAAGTAAAGACTAAAGGTAAGCAATTGAATATTGCTACAAGCTCTAAACAGATATCAGCCAAGGTTTGCACTTTTCAATTTTGTAAAGCATTGCCGGTAGACAGTTTTAACTGGCAAATTTCCGGGCAGATGCTGCGGCTGCGAAGCAGGCGCAGGAGATGACCGTAGCTAATAAGAAACTATAATAAAAACAAGGGAAGGAATTTATACAAAAAATCTCCTATCCCAGCCTTCGCGGAGCCCTAGTTGACAATAAATCTGATAAAAGTCCGCTGGCATTAATTTTTCGACTGATTGATGCTAAAAATTTTGGTCACTAAAAGCACTGCTTAGTGACCAGAATTTACTAGGGCTCCGCGAAGGTATAAACCCTTTATTCTGGGATAGCAGTAACCCCGGAGGGAGTGCTGTGGCCAGCCCAACACAGGTTAATTCGGCGTCACCCCGGTAACTGGCTCCGGTAAACTGAAGCCGGTAACTGAAGCCGGCGAACTGAAATAAACTGAATATTTGCGTTGATGCTATGGGATGACGCGTTCTCCATCAATCCCGAATCTCGGCTCCAGCTTTGGACACTACGGCCGCGGGTGCAAGCTAACGATGTTGCAGCGCTTCAGCGGTTCTCTTGACGTGGTCCGTGGGTGCTTTGGAGGACGAGGGGGTAAGGCCTGAGACAGCCTACACGGCCGCAAATGGTGAGCACTTGGACAGAGTTTTCTGCGTGTCGGCTAAGTAGCACTCGCAAGTATGTACGTAATTTTGCGCAAGTCCACTCGCGGATATATCTTTCGCGCGATCGAGTTGTCGTACCTATTTAAATGTGCAATGTTAGTTGGCGAGTGTAGCGCGAGAGACTGAGGTACCCTCAGGCATGGTGCTTTGGCTCCGTATGTGATTGCTAGTTTTAGTGATGCTGTTTAGGCTGCCCCCGGTGGGTATCATATAGACGCGTTATCGGGCAGATGCTGCGCCAGCTTCGCAGCCGCAGTAGATGCCCGTAGTTAGAATCAACTAACTGTATTTCTTGACTCGAATTCTGTGTTAGATCAACATTTGTGCTGCAAAACCGCTATCATGGCTCGAGCGTAAATTCTCAACTGATACTGGCGATACATAACAAGGAGACCCGAATACGAGTCCTTGCGCCCAAGTTTATCCATTAGAAAACGTACTTGCACGTACAACCTTTTTACCGTGTCTGTAGTGTTGATCGATGGTGTGGAGCTGATGCAGCCATACAACGAGTACGAGGGATTGTCTCCAAACAAAACTCCGTAATGTGTCGTTTTTTCGACTGCTATACGCCAAAATGTTTGATCATTTAACTGGTCCTATGGACGTAGTAACTCAAAATCAAGTGTCGAGGACACGCCAACTACTTGACTTCTTTATTTTTTACATGCACCGCCTCGCCGAATTAGACACAAATGCACTGTACCGCAGCCCCGAGTTTGCCTCACCCAACGTTCCTTAGCTATCCCAGCCTACTCAAAGCTCTCGTACTGGGATAGCAGTGGCCCATAGGTCATGCTGCTAAATCGGGTTATTCGCGCCTCGGTAACTGAAGCCGGTAACTGAGGCCGGTATCCGTGGTCCTTTGTCGCTGTCTGTCTTTCTATTGGTGACCCGGTAGCTGAAGCTGGTAACTGAGGCGATATCACTTTCTGTCTAGTAGATCTAAACATCAATCGTGTTGCACCTTCAGCATTTCGAATTCGGCGCAGATCAAAGTCGTGGCGATCTACACTCCGCTCCCCCAAGAGATGAGTTTCGCACCTGAAAAAGTTCGCATATCGAACCGCTGCCTTCGTACAGCTGACGAAAAGAAGCGACAACACTAAGTGATGCCCATCAGCGAGACCAGCGCGCACTCACAGCCTACGACGACTAAGAGACAACACCCGTCAGCTGAAGCTACTCTAGTTTAGCGTCGTAGTCAACCTGGACAGTCATGTTAGTTTGGGGTCCTTGATGGTGGTACTGCGGCAATTGTTGTCGCCCCCAGCCAGGGCATGCGGGTGGATAGGTAGGTACGACCGCTACGAACGACAAGTTTTCAAGTTGGGAGTGGTGTCTATAGCTCATCGACTAGAAGATGTGGCCACGCTACCTTGCGACCGGGTCGCAAGGGGTTCTAGACTTATGGGGCCGCAGCGACCCCATAAGTTTAGAACCCCTAAATGGCAAGACATACGAAATCGCAACATTTACTAAGAACTAATATAATGTACCAGGATTTTCGTAAAGGTATCGCTCAAGAAGCCGTCTGGACTCATAGCGCATCTTACCACTTGCCAGGCAAAAGAGGCGGTGGATAGTTTAACTTCTAGCGATCGAGGTTGCAGCCGGATTTCTCTTCGATTGTCTTTATATGCGTACTCCAATGTAGCTGGTAGTTGTCAGACGAAAACAATTTTCGACTGCAGTGTTTCATACTTCAGATTCTGAAATAGTACTTCTGAAGTTCAGAAGTACTATTTTTTGTGTCAAAAATCCGGGTTGCCCCGTAAAATTGCTATCCCAGCCTATGCATAGCCCTAGCTTTTATTTTATTAATTATTTTTCTTATTAGCTACGGCCATCTCCTGCGCCTGCTTCGCAGCCGCAGCATCTGCCCGGAAATTTGCCCTAAAACTGTAGATGCAGGATATCAACCGACAATGCTTTACAAAACTAAAAATGTGAACCTTGGTTGAGATCTGTTTGTAGCTTATAGAAAATGCAAATGCTTACCTCTAGTGCTATTGTTCAGCCCGCTTCAATCGTTCTCTTTGCCCAGTAAAATTCCTGATCAAAGCGGTTCTAGTATCGCCAATGATCTACAACAAAGCTCATTCTGCACATACACACATAGTGTGTCAGGATGTGCGAGGAGGCCGGATCTTATCGAGTACAGGGATGAGCGTCTATAAGAGCGCGGGTCTCAAATCATATTAGGCGGGTATACAAACATAAAGGCCTTTATGTGTGCAACATGTTGTACTTTCGAGTTTAATATTATAACTTTGTAAAAATATGTGTTTACGACGCGCTCTTATAGGCGCTCATCCCTGTATAGGGACCACATAATGGATACATAAAACTGAAGTTTGTGCGACTAGCGCAAAAGTTAGCCATGTGAACCGTCTCATCAATTGCGGATTGACAGGGTACCCATGATTCAAGTCTGTTGATGTTGATTTATTGAAAGTTTGAGGCCAATAGCGCGTTCTCCGTGCCCCTATGTCGATTATTTCAGAGTCCGTCGCGTTGAGGAACGCGATCATTGGGGAAGGCAGCACGCTCTCTATCGTCATCGACAAGAATGTGACGATAAATCACCTGAAAAAAATGCGATCAATGCGAAAATTGAAGACATCGAGGTTCCTGCGCGCAGCTTGCAGCTTTTCCTGGCAAAGAACAATGACGCATGGCTTCAGTCCGACACTGAAGCCATAAAGAAGCTGAAGACGGAAAAATATCGGCTCTTGTTAAAGAGCTGACACACAAAGATCACGAGCTCCAGGCCAAGACGTGCAGAAAGGTATGCCCGACCCCTCCACCGATCAAATCCACTTGCTGGTACGCGACGAACAACCAATTGTGCAGCAAGAGGTTTCTCGCAAGCGCAGCCGAGTACGTGGTTGGTTTCACGACGTGTCCCGTCAATTCCAAACGAAAAGGAGAAGAGTGGGCAACGGTGATCGTGCCATACAGTACTTCACAATGTCCGACTTCCCGCCTTTAACGTCAACAGCTTGATCCAGTGCGCTATGACCCGCGACTGCTCCTCGGGGATCGTGGCTACGCGTCCGAACTGCTTGTTGGCGACCAGCGCCTGCTGCATCAGGTTCTTCATCTCCCGGCTCTTGAGCATCTGCGCCAGTGAGATGCGCTTGTCGGACGCGGCAGCTCCCGCTCCGGTGGCGCTTGACGACGCGTGTCCAAGCCCCGTGTCGGCTGCGTTGTTGTGTCGACTCACCCTGCGCACCACGCTGGACATGACCGACGAGCACGAATCGGTCGGCTGCTGCTGCTGCTCCGCCTCCGCCACGTTCTCCGTGGACTTCTGCAGCTTGCGCATGGAGTTGATCGACTGCGCGGCTCGACTGAAGCCTCGCAGTCTGCCGGGTTGGAGCTGGCTCTGACCAGCAGCAGAGCTGGAGCTTGTAGTGGCTTCATTGGACTCGTTGGTCTCCGATACGCGGGCAACAGTGGCTGCTGAGCTCGTCATAGGCGTCTTGGCTCTTGGAGCGACCTTCACACTCGCGATTCGCCCGCGACTGCCACGCGCGCGGCCTTTTCCTCGGCCTTCACGCGTCGACGGAGCTTTCAGGTGCATCGCAAACCTGCTCAACTTCTATAATAAGCTTAATAATACATGTACTTCTGTAAATGGCTACACTGTCAACATGTAGCCATGTGCGTCATCATCTAGTGACCTGCCTCCCATCATGCCATGATTTTCATAAGGTCCGGGTTTTAAGCCAATCACCTGGCGTTCCTTCCCACACTCCAGCAAGTGGGCCCGACACCTCATGGCCACCACGAGCGCCTCTGTGGCGGAGACTCCTGCGCACCCAGAGAGTAGATCCGACGATCTCTTCGTCTTTGTAAGACACCGGAGCAGGCGCCGACCAAGTTGCAAGCGCGGAGATGACTTCAGAGACGCAGGAGACGCAGCAGCAGCAGACCCCGTTTGACGCCAAGAGTGTAGCCATGAAGAGCAGCGCAGACGGTGTCAGTAGCCGCACCAGCCGCCCGAGAGCTGCAGCTGCAGCGGCGAATGCCGAGATGGCGAAGCAGGTCAAAGGCGAGGAAACACCATTGAGCGTCGTGTTTGCCAAGGCCGCGAGCGATGCAGCAGCCAGCAAACCCCCACAACAACGTGCCCCAGCGGACCATGCAGCCAAGACTCAAGATGTAGCTATGTTACCTGATGATGCTGACGATGTAGCCATCATGAAGGAAGAGCAGCCTCCAGCCGAGGAAGGCAGAAGGAGGCCGTCCAGAGCTGCAGCCGCTGCTGCGAACGCCGGAATGGCTCGACAAGGTAAAGAGGAAGAAGGTTCGCTGGGCATGCTCTTGGCTTCAGCCCAGGTGCGACCCATGGAGCAGGAGCAGGAGGTGGTGGAGTCCAAGCCTACAGTGACAAGAAGCGTTCGGGTGAGATGGCTACACCTCCCACGAAGAGGCCTCGAGTGGCGGCAACGACAGCGGGCAGCAAGAAAGTGGCGCAAGACACGCTGGAGCTCGCCAGCGCTGAGCAGCAGCCGCAGCGGGGCAAGAAACGACGCCAAGCGCCCGTGTTCGAAGCTGCGCCGATCATCACGGACCTGCCGCCGCTGCCGTTCACGACCCCCAGTCCCGAGCTGAAGCTGAAGAACAAGAGCAAGAACAAGAACAAGCACGCGGCTGCAACCACAAAGACCAAGGCCAAGCAGTCCGTGGAGGAGGAGGCAGGAGACGACGCCCGTCACTGCGAGTTCTGCAGGAAGGCGGCGAATGTGTGCGTGCTGATGCACTGCCACGCGTGTCGACGGGTGTACCACGTCAAGTGCTTCTGGCACGCGTTCAAGCCGTACGTGGATGCGAAGGTGTCGATTCTGGACCAGCTGAAGCGTCTGCAGCTTGAGGCACCCGAGCGTCGTGGCAACATCTTCCGGTGTGCGTCGTGCAGAGCTGCGTTTGTGGATTTCTGTGAGAGCGGCGGCTATCTCTGGGAGTGTGACTGTCCGACGTGCGCGCAGCCGGAGAAGGCGATTTACTACCGGCAGCGGAAACTGGTGCAGATGATGAACGATATGGAACTAGAGAAGCAGCGCAAGAAGGACCAGAAGGACAAGACCAAGAAGAGCGGCGCTGCAAAGCCACCGACCTCGACACCGAGTCGCTCAAACTCGACGTCACGCAGTCAACGTACACGAAGAGGCAGCGCAGCGCTCGATGATGGAGTGCTTAACGCGCGGACAACCAAGCCTTCAACATCGCGGAGCGTGCCACCTGAAGGTCTTGATGTGAAGAAGGAAGGAGACAATAATGCCGAAGGTCGTGATGTGAAGAAGGGAGAGGATACGAATGCCGGACCTGTGGACGGGATTAATGGCAAGAAAGATGCAGTAAAAGCGGGAAGTGAAGCCAAGGCGGTGCCGATGGACGTGGACGCCGGGGCTGACACCCAACCTGGTTCAGGTGAGCCAGGAAGTGCTGAGCCAGGAAGTGCTGAGAAGACTACACATGGACCGGAAATGGAGCAACATGTCAGCACGGTAGCGGAGCGACAACAGGAGTCGCACCCAGCAGAAGCTGCCACGCAGCATCAAGAGACCAAGACCCAGCCAGAGCTGCAGCAACTAGCACAATATGCTGCTGCTGTCAAGAAGGAACAAGCAGAGCTTCAGGCAAACCAGGAGCTGGTGCCCCCGCGAAAGCAGGAAGAACAGTCCGTGAAGGTGAAGTACGAGCCTATTGGAGAGCCCGAGCAGCCTGATATGAAAGGGGACGAGCTTGTTGGCGCAGTGCGCGTACATCACGAAACGAAGACTGAGCGCTGGTGCTTCCCGATCGTGTGCTCTCGGACAACGAGTCTTCGAGTGTCGGGTATGATGAAGTTGGGGACGTGCAAGTGGTCGCTCAAGAAGAGAGCCGTCATTCAGTGCGCGTGCTGCGATAAGCTGTTCGGATACCCCGAGTTCGTGCACCACACAGACAGCAGCTTGGTCAAGGACGCGAAGTGTGCGACGGAAGACCCGATGCCGTACCTATTCGTCGAACACCGGGATACCACGCTCCACACACCACTCGACGATTTCCTGCCTGCTCTTAGGAGTTGGGCTGGTCGTCAGAGCGCGAATAACCCGCCCACCAATTCGCGCAGAGGGCACGCGGTGAGGCAAGAGGCAGCCGCAGCGGTCGCAATCCCCACGATGAATATGACGAACCCGGAGGCCGCCGCGGAAGCGCTGCAAGCCAAAGTGTCCAGACTCCGCGCGCTCGCGCTATTTAAGCGCCCCAAGCCCCGGAGTGACAAGACTTCGACTGCGGCGCGATTGTCGGACCCGCCAAGTTTGGACTTTTTGGCGCAGGTGGTGTCTGTCGCCCAAGTACGTGATGAACATGTCGAACGGCAGTCTTGTAGACCGCGTGGTGAGGTCGAACACTTCGGTGCCCGACCACTCGTTCCCGCGCAAGTCTGGATGGATGGCCTTCAATTGGACGGTGACCTTGTCGCGCCAAGTCACGTGCACCTGCTGTGAAAAGTCGTACACTTTTGAATCATTCGTGGAGCACGCTGGCATTTCCCTGATCGAGCTGAAGCAGAAGTCCCGCCAGGTGTTGTATGTCGTGGAGCGGACGGACGAGTCCGCACTGGTGCCGTACAACTCGTTCGCGACGGATCTGGAGACTGTCGCCAAGGCCAACGGGCTGGATTCGATCCTGGACGAGCTCCACCCGCCGCCTCCATCCCCTCGACCTATATAACAACAAGAAGGGTTCATGCGTTCGAGTATGAATGTGCCACGTGTGGGTGGATGGTACCCTGCAAGCTAGGCAGCTCCGGAGACGAGTTTATTAAGGGTATCGGTATTGTACCAACAAGAAAAATAAAATGAGCACATTGTTGGAATTGTCGGTTCCTCTACATTTTATCTGTCATGAAGCTGTTCGTCGGTTGAGAGTAAGTAGTCGAAGCCTACTTACTCTGGGCTGTCTCATTACTACCACCAGTTAGTTTAAACGTGGAACCGAATCTTCATCGCAATGGCCTTGTACTGCTCAAAGTAGTCGACGTAGCGCATGAGCTTGAGGTACGCCTTGCTGCCTACCCCCTCCTTTGCCATGCCCAGCTCACCGTACATATACGGGTGTCCTTTGCCCTTGAGAAACCAATCGGCGAACTCGTTGCGTTCGCTGTAGTATTGCTTGACCAAGGTTGCCTGGCTTAGTCTTAGATTTCGACAACAGCTTGTTGTCCAGCTTCACTGCCATGGCCCTGACGTCTGCTGACAGTCCGAAGCCCTCCCCTCGTTCTCCTCGTCGAAGTCAAAAGTCGGTCGACTTGTCGGTCCGTAGAGAGCGTTTGGTGTTGTCTTCCGAGGCAAACGCGCGATTCCAGGTTGGGGTCTCGGGCACTGTAACCTTTGATACTTCGGTTGGGGGGACTGAAGCGCTTGCAGTGGCGAGAAGAGCAGCGGCAGCCAGCAGAGCGAGTTGGAAGACGCGCATTATGGCTGGCTATTGGGAGTGAAGCTTGGAGGGCGAAGTGCGACCCGCCGAGGAAATTGCAAACTGAAGAACTGGGCGCATTGAGCAAGTGGTGTGCCGAATACTGTACTGTGCTGTATCAGCTTCTTGACGGTCAATGGCCGTTGACTTCATCGGTGGCAAATCCCAGGAAATGATAACTTTTTATGCTGGTGACCATTCCAGACGCATCTGGGTACCAGTAATACTGCACTAGCACCACTACTCTTTTAGGGGTAGTCAGAGTTGCTCACAGATGCCGGATTCAGAAGAGAGCGGGTGGAAACTACAGATAAACATACCGTTTCTACAGAAGGTGCTCCAAAAATACAGAGCGTGGTGCAAATCTACAGAGGGGAGCGACAACCTACAGAAGACACTACCAGTCCTACAGAGAGGTCGTGCAGGAATACAGAAGAGCGCTACTAAATACAGACGTGCCAACTTGACGACTTTTGATTGGTTTTGAACCACAATATTCCCAATAGCGCCAGCTAATGCTTCACAATACGGCTATCCCAAGTTTGTCTTTGGCGGAGGCGCGCATTCACTTACTGGTTGAATTTTGCGCCCACCAGCACACACCAACGAGCAGCCCGACATACATTCGTGGCTGGGCAGAGCTGCAGGGTAATGTATAAAAGCCAGCCTCAGGTTCGCCAGCTAAACCTCGACATCCACTTCGAGCTAGTGAACACTTCGGAGACGTGTAAGAACACAGGGCGCATCGCAAGAGTCCGTGGCAGCATGGAAGATTAATGAGATAGTGGTTGCTTTAATGTACTCGAATCGCTGGCAGCGACAACATATCTCTTGTGTGTGTTTTTAGGATGCGTGGCGATAAGATAAGAAACATCTTCGTCGTTTTGGCCTCCCGCCTTCTTCGCTTAGCTTTGTGCCGGGGTTGTCTTGGTCTGCTTCGAGTTGACGGCCCTGTGTCACGCGTTATGACAGGCAGAGCGGGTTGTGGACGGTATGAAGAGAGAGTGCCGTCAACAGAATACAACCCGGCAAAGCAGGCCGGCAAGAATTTTGAATACCAAGCTTTTTCGTTTTCGTTTTCAGTTTCAGGCATGTTGTTGTCACTTAACTTGTATACCAATACCAACCTTTTAACTGCCGGCTGTGAGTTTTATCTTTTGAAAGATGTTTAAAGCCAAAGTTTAAGCCGAACACCTCAGAAGTTGACAATTCGCGACTGTCAGTCTCACATACCGACACGCACAGCAGTCGGGCATGGATACGCTGTGTGGACTGCTCGCCATGTCGATTTACTCAATAATCAGTTTTGCGAAAAATTACTCAAGCATCAGAAACAATACTCAGCAAAACTTCTAATGTTTGTGTCGCCATCAACTTTCGAGCACGCAGGACGATACTTCGCTACGGCTGCCCTTAGCTAGGGTGCCAGTGTATGCATTGCGTTTATTCCAGCATGGCTTAAGCTTCCTTTGCTTCGTCATCTAGTTCCTGGCCTTTGCGAAAGAAAACTCTGCCAGATAATCTATGGGATCGGTGGGCTGCACCTTGACGACTTCCAGCATTCCCTCCGTGAGTGCTGGCAAGACGGTGTCCATGAGATACGTCCTCAGAGGCTTTGCTCGCGTCTCCAGTAGTTCGGCTTCCTCGCGTTGTAGCAACTCAAGCCGTGCGCGTTCCTGAGCGAGTTTTGCCTGTTGAGCGGCCTCGTCCTGAGCGTCCTGCTCCTGAGTGCGCTGGGCTGCACGGATCTCAGCTTCACGAGCTTGTTTCTCGGCAGCACGGCGCTGTTCACGCAGCTCAGCGCGCGTAGGGTGAAAGTTGCGAGGTGCTCGACCTCCTTGCTCCATGTAACGCTGGACGGGAGCAGTGAACGCGGTTTCGTCACGATGTGCATGATCGTCTCGCAAAGACAGCTCCAGCACTTCCACACCTTCTGCCTTCGGCTCAGTCGCGTCGGGAGTATGCTTTGGCTTCTCGAACACAGCTCCAGAGCTTCAATGTTGGCCTCGAACTCATCAAAGCGCCGAGCGAAAAAATGCGTCTTGTGTGTTCTCTGTGCGCTCAGCTTCAGCCTGCGCACGGATCTCCAGCAGCGTCCGCGGGGCCTGCAGCACCATCACTCGGTTGGGCGCGAGAACGGGTCGTCGGGGCTTCAGACGTGCCAGCACCGCCTCGATATCTACTGCTGGCGCAGTAGTTCCCCCCTCGGCATTCTCGTCTCCACCTGCAGCCTCACCGCCATCGGCCGCCTCATCTGGGCCACTGTTGCCATTTTCACCAGCATCGCCCGACCCTTCACCTTCTCCGTCAGGGTTGCCATCACCACTAGGCTCCGGTGCGATGATTAATTTTGGCTGGGACGCAGAGATCGGGAGTCCATCAAGCACGTATCCCTGGTTACGGCACGCAGCACTGCGCAGCTTCCAACGTAGCAAAGCTACCAGTGCGGTTTTAGGGAGCTGGTTGGTGTTCTCACTCGAGCCACTGGTTAAAGTCGGAGCCCATTGCTGCAGCTCGTCCCGCAACTTCCGAGTCTCTGAAACCTCTGGGACCTCGTTCTGCTTCTCACCGTCGTTCTCCTGCTGCCCTCCGTCACTCTCAGGATCAGCCTGAACAACTTTGGTCGGAAGTGAAGGCGCGGCGTCGTTTTCAGGCGCAAAAAGCTCGTTCAGCAGCGTCGTCGGGGACAAATACGGCAGATAGGAATCTCTCGCAAGTCGCCGGCCAAGCAGGGCTTTACCGGCACGAGGTGCACCAAGGACAACCGTGCGCAGTGGACGCAAGTCCATCGCATGGATGAAATCGTCAACGAAGAAGGCCAGATTCCCGAGAAGACCGCGCGAATAGTGGCGCCACTCTTCCGGTGCCACCAGCGAATGCATCGCTCCAGCGGACGTGTCGAAGCGCAAGTGAAGCTGAAGTGGTGCTACAAGTTCCTCCTCCTCATCCAGTAGCAGTGCATCAGCTTCACCGTCAGCGGCACTGGTAGAGTCGTCGCGATCACGTACGTGCCCCGAGGCGAGCAAGGTGCTGACTCCTCGGCACACGTCGCGCAGGGTCGTACTACTGCTGGTCTTGTCCACAGCAAGTATTTCTTCGGACGTGGCGACGGCGACGCTGCCACGCGGAAAACCAGGAGCGCCAGGTCGTAGAGACTGATCATGGGCAGCAAATTTCGACCTTGGGTAGGGGTGGCAAGACTCGGCACCAAAAGCGGCCGATTCGGATTCAACCAGGCCTCGCGGAAGATCAGCTGAAGCTGTGACTGGGCCCCACCATCGGCACCTACGATGCAGGTTTCAAGCTCCCCCGTGCGATGCGCGCTCAAGATCTGCGTCTCGGCAGTTTTGAGGTCCGCGTACTTGCGCGCTGGCCGGCGCGACTTGAAGTCGTCCTCAACGTGAGCGGCACCTGCGCCTGAAGCAGCGAATGGCGCGTTCTTGCTCCACGACAGCACCGAGGACACGGCGATGAAACGCTTCACGCTGTCCCCTTCGCCTTCGTTCGAGTCCTCGTCACCTTTCGTCGTCCCGCGTTTCTCGAAAGCTTTGAGCGTCTCCATGGCGAGTTACGGGTCGCTCACCAATGCGGTGACCACGACCACGTCCGCGAGCTGCACAAGTCGACGCCACACCGTTAAGTCGCTCTGAAGTGCGACGAGCTCCTTGACGGCCCCCTCAACGTCGCTGTTGGGGTGGCTCTGCAATTGGCGCTTGAGCGCCGCCAGCTCCGACTTGCTACCGCGGGCGGCCGTGCCCACGACCTCGAGTCCTGCATCCTGGCAGTTGCGTGCCAACTCGGCCGAGAGTGACGACCCCAAGTCCGTGATGAAGACGCGCATGTTCGAGCGTGCTTTGACCCAAAGTGAAGTTTCGCCAAATGCAGGAAGGGGTTCTCGATTCGAGATGCCGGCAGTTGCAGTAACTCCGACTATTTTTGCATCGATGATGGTGTATATTGGGCACGGCGAGAAGCGGTAGGCGAATTTCAGGGCTCGACAACCCCAGGACGTACAGGGATGTGCATACATCTACCAATATCCCAGTGGGCTTTGCACGCTTAATCCTCAGCGGCGACAATGAAAAAGGAACTCGCACCGCTCTCCACGGGCCCGAAAAGTATCGCTTCGTCGTCACATCCTCGGCAACACAATGGTACGGATGAGTAGGCTAGCATCTTTGCCTGTCAACACTTGTGATAAAACGCTCACCTTTTACACTTGCATGCAACCAGTGGGCATACTCGAAGTCAAGATGAAGCACCGGCTGCAGGAAGACCAGAAGGCTGTTGCCGTGGGTGTTTTGTGTAAGCCAGGCAAGCAACATACCTGCGCTTCGCACAAACTTGGACACTCGGGATAATGGGGCGTTGAGGGACGCGCTGCTACTGCTTCAGCAACTCGCACAAACTCCAGGAGTGGGGCCGCTGCTGGTGCCGTATTACCGACAGGTCCTGCCGATACTGAACATGTTCAAGAACAAGCGTCGTTACCTTGGAGATGATGTAGATTTCCGACAGCAGTGCGGGGTTGAAGAAAAGCTCACCCTGAGCGCAATCGGCGTTAACCCCGGAAAAAAAAACTTATTATCGTCAAACAAATACATGTTACCTACGCTTACGCCAAGTCGACAATTCTTAAAACGGCGCTATAAGATAATCATAAAACCTATATAACGTTTAGAAACGGATAAGTAGGTTCGGTCCTTACCTACTTATAAGTAGTGACACAAACCTACTTACGTTGCAACAAATCACCTTGAATAGCTTAATTTCTCAATTCAGTGTGGAGATCCTTTTTACAGAACTCTGCCTGAATACCGAACGCCTGATATATATAAGGGCTCCAGGTTTATAAAGTGATCTCAGCGTTACCAGAGAAAAGGCTGTACTGAATTAGTTTATCTTAGACGGGATTTGACGCTTGCTTAGTTATTGTGGAAACCGATTAGATTGTCCGAGCGGATTAGCTGATAAAGCAGCGTTCATGAGGGGTTTGACTAGTACTAAATCGGGGATTCCTATGATTTCATATGGCATCAGTAAGGGTATAAATCGGTGTAAGGTTAAAAAATAGGGGTTGCCTCATTACCGCCTGCAATCCGAGGAACGACCACTTACCGCCACGAGCTAATGTTTCGCGCACCTACTAACGTGGAATAGCATCGCGTGCATTAAATACGCTTCTGTGAGCAGTCGATACGTACTGCTATCTATTTATCAAGTTGTGAAGTCATGTATTTGCGCTGTCATTTCTCGTCAGCATTAGCGTTTGTCGGTTTTACTTTAAATCGGCCGCCGAATGCCGAGTGGGTGTCGGACATTCGGGCTGATTAGCATGCAAATCAGCTGTCCAAGGCTTTGTAAGTCGTGGAGTGGCTAAATCAGCTTGCCACATGGCGATGTAGGCACAACAGACTGCTCTGTCAAATCAGAGTACAAATCTTAGGTTGTCGATCTAATTAGGAGGTCGGATTTGCTAAATCCGACCCAATCAAGCTTAATCATCTGCTTAATCAACCGATTTATGTTCCAATTAGACAATATAATCGGTTTCCACAATAATCAAACCCGAGTACTGAGTTGTTTCAGCGCTGACCTTCGATCAAGCGTGTTCGCACCACATCAGTGCGGTTAGTAGCTCTACTTTGTACTACTCCTAGAGGGCTTAGCGGGTAGTGCGCAATGTGAAAGTGGAATCGTAAATACAGAGAAGATCGCACAGACAATCAAAAGGGCGCCAATTTTCAAACTGCACAGCTTAGTACTTTTAGCCAAACAAAGGTATCCTGGATTTTTACATCAGTACCTTTGCCCATCTCCGTTCGTCCTGTTGTTGGACCTTGAAGTATTATTTATATGAGGTTATGTATTGTATACCCGTTCGGTATTGAGGCAGATTTCTGTATCCCCTTTTGATGAGTGAACAGACCGGGTCTTTGCCGCATTCGTCTACACGTCTGTATTTCCACCCGGCACAGACTGCAGAGCGCTCGGTGATGCACGAATAATAGAGAATGCACCGCCACACAGCAATGTAACAAGGCGCTGGGGGTACCGTCAGATAATGCTTCGGTCATTACTGAAATCAACGTTAAAATATGTTTTTCTATTTCGAGCTTGCATTCTTGTTGTCGTTTAATTAAGCAATAACAGTTCGGACAACAAAAAATGTATACTGCAGAAAGCGAGCGGTTATTTGAGTGTCAAAATTGGAAGCATATCTTGTTGCTGGAGTTACTTCTATTTAGCGGCTATATGCATGTTGATGTACTAAATTAAGTTTTAAAGATGTGGGTACTATGTACTGGATTAGTAACGTACCGTAGCAAAATGTTTAACTTATAATCACAAGTTCCACTTAATGTATGAAGGCTAACCAATCAGATACGATTAAGGGGTGGTCTATTTGCCGGTCGTTGTCTGTACCAATCTAATAGCCATGCTTCAGCCGACGCATAGATTTAGTATCCAGGCTGTGCGTATGCGGTTAAAAGCTAGTATTCACGTCCCTTCAATTGGTAATTTACTGGCTTGGCTCAAAACAGGTCTCTGGTACACAAGAACAGCATTAAAAAAAACTGGTGTGTAGTCATTTAGCAAGGGGTTCGCGACTGAGCTGAAGGTTTCCCGGTAGGTCCCTCTTGATCACAATTTCGCCAATAGATTTAAGATTGAACCAGTAGAACGAACATGAGGATCTGCATCTAAAACAACGAGTTAGGCTTTCGGTAGCTGATCTATTCTTTAGTTTTGAGGATGCTCTCCTCTCTGTACTCAAATCATTACATAAATGTCCAAACAGTAGTTGCAGCACTCATGCTACAATATCACCACTCAGGTCGGGCTGTTGTCACTCACAAAACAACTAAACCACCGTATTTCATGTCGCCAAATACCCCCCTATATATATATATATCAACACCACTGAAGTTGCCACCCGATCAAATTGTACTATTGCCCGACTTTAATCAGTTAGAACTAAGGTAACAAGCGCCAATTGTATATTATTGGCTGCAAGCCACTCGATAATTCGACACTTTCCTGCAAGAATCCAGCCCCTGCCCAGCTCAGCAAGTTACCCCTCACCGCAGCGTGAAGGCCAAGATTCTACAAACCGCCCCAACTCCCCCTATGCCTACCAGTGATACTGAGATGCTGCTCGACTCTTTCAAGATCTTCAAGGTGGTCAAGAGCCTCTTCGTTTTATGTGGGCTGTGCAGCCATGCAGCCTCGCATACCATGCGTGTCCGGCTACCGACCTGCAAGTGCCCTACGTGTGCGGCGGTGGTGCCCTTTACCCTGTGTCCATGTCGCGGTAAGATGCTTGCCTACCAGCACATCAACCGCCTGCCCGTAGAGGAAGCTGGCATGCAGGTCTCGTCGGAGCCATCACCTCCGCGCCCTCGCCTCTACTACCGCTGTCGGTGGTGCAGCGATTTGCCATACCTATACCTACTTCCATCTACGCAACTACGACATTTTGGTGACGGTGAAGGGCAAGGTCTGCGAAGCCGCGTTCCACAGCGGTGAAGAAGAAATCCAGTCCTTCATGTTCACGCGGGCAAATGACTCGGCTGGCTAGTCAATTGTCGGAAACGGCAGTAACAACGCCCCGTTCATCGCCACCATTATCACGAAGAAACTGCTCCAGCGCGCAGACCGCGAGCCCAGTTCTTTCGTTCTTCACCTTGATCCAACCTCCAAGCTACACCAGGCGACCTACCCAGTTCTGGTGATTGGTGTATCTGACAAGGTACGCAGGTTTCACGCTGTTGTCATTGTGATTATGTCACCGCAGATGCAGCTACACTATGCGAGGACGCTAGCCGCTTTGAGAGAGTTGCGAAGAAAGTCTACGCGAAGGCTAAGATTCTGGAATCTACTTGTTCGCAATGGTGCTGCGCGATCTGCATGATCTCCCTTCATGGTTGATGAAGACGAGTACGAGAAGGTCAAGTCACGGATGTTTGCTGGCTGAGCCGAGTGGCCAGGCCTGGCGGCTTTTACGACTTACACCACGAGCACTTGGGTTACGAGGCGCTTCGTGTGGTGGCAAATGTACAGCACTCCACCTGAGATGGCGGCCACAATCTACAACCAGGTGGAGCAGTACAACGCAGTACTCAAGCGCGATGTCACCGTGCACAGGACGGTGAAGATGGGGCTTGACAGGCTGCTAGACTGTTGTACGCTGGAGAGCGCTTGCTCCGTATCTTTTGCTGTAGTAGCCGTTGCAGAGGCAATACGGCAACGACGCACTCGCAAGTTGGAGCGGCGAAATCTCCTCTCTGAGCTAGCGGTAACCGGCACGGCATTGGCTTCATGCCGGAAAATACGCCACCTGACGCCGAGATCCGCGACACGTTCTATGTGTGTGCTGTACGTGCAAGTCGGCCTTAAGAAGAGAACTAACACCGTCGACACGAGGAGCTTCGGCCCAGTGAGCTTGCATACAGCTAGGATGGAAACAAAGGACGTCTCGTCGGAGGGGTTGAAGGTGGATATGTGCGTGCCGATGTCAGTTCTACACGAAGTTTGCGTGCTGCGCGCATGTGCTCTTTGCGTTGAATGCTCGGTGTCTCGTCGACCTTTTGGTCACGAATGACCTGTTTACCGAGAAGCCACCAAGAAGCGCCGAGTCTCTAGGCGTCAAGGCCAAGGCCACCTGACATCCAACAGCTACGTGCTTACTATCAACTATGCACACCGCAATTGTAGAACAAAAGTTTATACAGCGGACACGACCTTAGGCAATGCCGTTCACCTTCGCCCGTTGCTTACCATCAAGTAATGTGCGGTCCCTTGCCCACTTACCCACCGCCCACCACCGATGAGGCTCCGACCTCACCCGCGCCACTCACCATCCCACACAACCTCTCACCACCGCGTTAAGCGGCTCGACCCGCGCGATGTTCACCGTTTGTCAGCGTGTGCCCACTTCAAACCGCATCCTGCCATGCCTTGAAGTCCCTACGGACGCTATTAGATACCCGCAGAGAGCGCAGTATACGCAGACATCATTCTGGCTGCCCTTCCCTGTGCTTCACCATTATCAACATAAATTTGCCGGGGGACATGGATATGCGCACCGATCTGACACCGATATAAACCAACGGCCCATCCGCGAAGCTGGTTGACCCCTATAGCGCCCAGGAGAGCCGCGGGAACTTCGGCGCGCGTACCGTGCCCTGACGTGCCGCACGACGCCTGAAGGTAAGGATAATGAATGGACAATGGTACGGAACATTCACACCAGACCGACTCTAGTAAGATGCGAGTCAAACATAGCCGCTGTGATGCTGGCCATGTCTCACATATCCTATATGCGTGAAATAATGATTTCCCTTATGCTGGGCTCCCTATTCATATGGTATTTCTCGTATTTTGTCACAAACAACTCAAAACGCACCCTACACGCTCCTACACACAACACACAAGCACACGCGCTTGCGCTTGCGCCACGCCTACACATACTCCTCGCTCGCCAAACCGCCCTGCCGCACCCGCGCATTCGACCGCATCGACTACCAAAGCATCACCCCTGACCGCCCCCGCCTCGTGTCCTGGTGTCCTGTGAGCTCGGTTTGACCTGCAGGACACCGAGGACGCTGTGGTGGCTTGTGCGCACGGCCGACAACGCACCGGACGCCCACTTGCGAGAACTACGAAGGCAGCCGCAACCGGGCTCGAAGCCCAGCCAGGCGGGCCTGTTTTGAAAAAAGAAGATGCTATTATCAGATCAACATCTCAGGATACTTAGGAATTGCTTTCTCAAAGCTACGAATTACGGTGGTTTCCGCTAATTCTTCCCAGGCCGCAATTATAGACAAAATTGCACGGAGGCGCTTCTCCTTTGCAGTGCCTCCTGCAACACCCCGAAACTTTGACCTAATTTTTGCTTTCAGTGGGCCGATCACGCCAACGTCGAGCGGTTGACAAACCGCCGTCGTATTAGGCGGGAAAGGCACCACTGCAGCGTTCGTTTCTTCGAAAACGACCCGCTGTCCCTCCTCCGAAACATGTGAGTCAAAATTACCAAGGAGGAGGACAGCGGGTCCATCGATTTCATGTTTTAACACATTACTCACATAAAATCTCCATCCTACCGCGTCCATCCAGGCATGCTCCTGGACAGTGTAGTAGTGACCGGGTGGATAGTGTGGCAGCTCGTCGCTGTCGATGTCGCCGCCGAGCTTACCCCGAATGATGAAGAGAATTGGCAGCTTATGGCCTAAAATATATAATACAAAATGTGTTAGCATTAAAATACCCAGTTTCAGAATTGTTAAAGCAAGAAAAAACGTACTATCACCGCGAACAGTAAGAACTGCTGTCATTCGACCAGTGTGCTTCGTCATCTTGGTAATTCGGGCAGGGTCCCTGCGGCCTTTGACAGCCCAAAACCGTGTCGGCGGCACATCAAAATTGATAGCCGTCTCATCCACGTTAAAGAGTGTCGTAGGGCACCACGTCGAGTACTTGTTCCAAAGTTCAATGGAGAACTCAACGCGTTTCTCGAGCAGCTCCACTGTCGGAAGCTTGGCTTCTTAGGGCTTTTGAGACGTGAAGTCGTAACTAAATAAAAAACATCAATTGAAAGAATGATTAATCGATTAAAATTTAACTTCACACCATGAAAACCAATTTACCGTTTGCAAATGCGTTGACACATTTTTCTAGCGACTGCTCAGGGCTTTTGTGGCTGTCCACGTAGCTAGCACACCACTCAGACTCTAGTAGCCACATGTAGTCGATCATTGCATGCATCGATAGGGCCTACAAAAAAAAAGCACGCACAATAGTCAGTATTAAGTCGCAAAAGCACGTACTAGAATGGTAGACCGACCTTTTCGTCTCTGCGCGTGTCCTTCATAAATGTAACAAGGGCTGGGACGCTAGGAAATATTTCCTTGCGTCCCTGCCCCTTCAGAGTTGGCGAACGCGAGTTTCCGCGGAAAGCGAAAAGCCTGTCGGCTTGCTTCCACCATCCGAACACAGTTCCGCGGGGTCGCCCGAGCTGGTGCGCAGCCTCGTCGACGCCGACATGAATTGCGAGCTGCGCACCTTCACGCTTCTCCTTGATACTATAGCGCTGTTGTTTCGGCGCCATTTGGACAATGAGCCTAGGCTTTAGTGGGTGAGGTGGCGCGTTTTACAGTGGCCAACCGATTTTATCTAAGCTATGATTTGCTAAAATAAAAGCACAGTTCTGCGTTTTGATTTGCTAAAACAAAAATTTATGTGAACATATGTCTGTCTTTTTTCTACTAATGCCGGCTTTTTGAGTCTGCCGGCTTTGTAAGTCGTTGTCTGTATTGCTGACTGAGCAAGCACGGAGAGTATGTGATGGGCGACGGGTCGCTCGTTCGAGCTGGTGGTGCGATGATGGGCGGGATTCCTTAGCGTTACATGTATCGGTAGCGCTAAGGCGGTTGGTTCTGCTACAAGCAGCGATCTGTCGCTATGGAGTGATAGGCCGATCCACTAAAGGAAGCTGACTGTGGGCTATCAGTGGAGGTCTTAAGGGGAGCGGAGGGTCTTCAGGGTGTGAAGGTTCTCCATTCGGGTCCCAGGTTTACGGGCGCGCGGCGTGGCACAACGATCTGTACGCCATCGTGTACGCCTGGTACTTCCCAAAAGGATTCTCGGGGCCTTCGCCGTCAAGGCCCCATAACTGGTCCAGTGCCGTCGTGGGGCTCGACAACCCAGACGTGGCCACACCAAAGATCATGGGGCTTTTGCTGTCAAACTCCGCTAACTCAAATGTTGGTGAACCATCAAATAGCAAATGACTTCAAAACTTGATTCCATGCCGCGTTGAACTTGTACTCCCTCCAGTTTGCCCGACTGTTCTCTCCAGCTACCTAAGCTCAGACGAGCTGGATACGGGTCCACAGTATCCAAAATATGAACCTGGCTGGATGAAATGCTTCTCGTCGTGCCTTCCAAAATAACAATGAGGTTGAACCTCACAGCATATCTGTATTTCCAGATCACAGTAACTTTGATTCAAATTCCCACAGCCATGCTGAAGAATTCCATTTCATTTAAACGAAGAACTACTTAATAAAACTATCCTACCTACTCAGTTACTGCTGACTAGTGTCCTCTACTCTTTCTCTATACTCACCAGTCTAAGAAAGCGCGGTGACATTCAGATGCAGCAGATCGCTCCACGCAATCGTCGTCGGGTACACGAGCATCGACGTCTCCTTCACCGTGTTCTTGTCCATTTCGTGCACGAAGATGTTGGTGAAGCGCACTCGAGTGAGCTTCATGACGATCAAGGGCAGCAGATCCTGCGCGCCGATGAGGAACTTGCCGTTGACCACGAGGAAGCCGTTGCAGTAGACCGCGTCGATCGTCGCGATGAGCTGGTTGTCGTGCACCGCGTAGTTGTCGTAGCTCGAGATGACGCCAAAGCGGTTGGTCAGAGCCGCTCCTGTAGCCACTTCGAAGGACGTGAGGCCGTTCTGCTGCAAGCCTTCCCTGTAGGCGCTGGACCGTCGACGAGCTGTCATTGTAACGTGGTCTCCGGTCGCTACGACTGGCACGCTGGTGTACCGAGTCGACTTCCGACCGATAATGTACGCGAGCATGAACATCTCTCGAAAGATCTCCGGCGAGAACAAGCGACCCTCCGGCCGCGCTCGATAAAGATCTCAGCAAGCAAGACTGTACGTGTGGAGAGGCACGTGGCAAGGGTCACTAAACCCAGGAAGCAGTTCAGTTACAAGCTCAACCTACTATGAACTACCAAGACTGACCACCGGACGTGTCAATACACCCAGGTGAACGCCCCGAAACTTCCCCCTCGAGAGCTGGAAGTCCCAAGATGGAGAAGGCAGTGACGGCTCCTGTGGCCCCGCTGGAAGGAGGTGTAGTGGCTCCCGGAGTGGCAGAGGCCTCCGCAGCGGATAAATCGGATGCCGGGTGGACCACCAAGACACCAGGACGCAAGGGCAGCGCTGGACAGAAGGCGCGAAACGAAGGTTTGAGTCCAAGATTCCGAGTTGGCAACAATGGAAAGAATCCAAGCTCAAAAGACGCTAAACAGCACCAGAGGACCGCCAAGCCTAGTTTCCCACCCAAAGGAACGAGGCCTCAAGGTGAAAACGGCGATGGCTGTGCCTCCTTCTACAAGCTACAAGAACTACTGTGATCGGAAGCACCACCAGAGTACATTTTCCAGATGGTGGTTCGTATTCATGATCTTGCGCAGCAACGTCGGCTTGAGGAATTCGAAAGCCGTGTCAATGCAATCAAGGACGAGGAGGAAAGGGCGAAATTACAGGCGAATTGGACTGACAGTCTCCCTGCTAAGACGTTGGAGCGCTTTGGCCGTTTTGCAGACCAATGGGACTACACCATCCGCGATGACAAGCTCCGCCTCGCTCGAACGGTGTACAGCTGGCTCATCTAGGATAAAATATCAAAAAAGGAGCTGGAGCAACGTGTCCAAGTCTTCACTTTCGTGAACAAACCGGAGCAGCAGGTGTACATGTCTGTCAAAAGCTACGCGCAACCAAGAAGTTACAATGATGTCTTAGAATCCAAGATGCCCGCCTTTAGCACCCCTCCGCCTGGCGGGAGCGCTAGTATGAACAAGCTACTTCAAATTGTTGCCCGACCAGCGGCTCCGTTGATGAAACCACGGGCGATGACAAGCGAGGAACAGGAGGTCTTGAATCTGATTCTCTCCGGCGAAATGGAAATCAAGTCTACGCCGCCTTTTCTGGCTCAAGTATTCGACACGGACAAGGTGGCATTAATAACGGAGCTGATACAGCGTCAAGAGTACCCAGTGCATGCGCATCTACTACCAGGCCACTTTGTTCGAGACGGCCTGAGCCAAAACACGCTACTACAACTGGTGGATGCGGGGGAGGCAGGCCTTCCTGAGCAGCAGAACCAAGTACAAAGACTCAAAACAGACCTGGTGCGATTGCAGCTCGACTCAGAGCAGCGATTGCTCACGATGTTTTTTCCCAGCGCCCGGATTGCCAAACAATGGGCGGGGTCCTTTTGCCCCTTTGACCGGCGTGGCATGCAACTGATCGACTACAGGGCGTTACGTCAAGAATTTCCGGACGCGGTGCTCTTACAGACCTCCTGTTGCGAGGGAAGATAAGCCCAACTGAGATGCACGCACTGCTCACGAAAGAACTGCAGCTCCAGATAGCCGTCTTGAACCACCCAACGCTGTGCGAGCAGCAGCCAGGAAGAGAGAGATGGGAAGTGATCGTCAAAAGCCCAAAGTGCCCCGACGTACTAACGCGGCACTCCCGTATCCAACTGCCTCATGCGGAACTACTAATCCACCACTCGGATGTGCATCTACATCTACCATGTACCAAATGCCGAGACAGGTGGCACTCCCACGCTCACTGCAAAACCGCAGAAGCCGATCGCGCCCAAGCCGCGGCGAAACGTACGCTGAAGATTCCATCCTGGTCTCATGCGCTTCCCGTAGCACATGATGACGCAGAATCATTGGAAAATATCCGGAGCCTTGACCAGCTTCTGCAATTTTTTGACCGGATGAGCGAGACATCCCCCTCAGGAACTGCAGCAGAATCACCAGGAACGAGTGCCTCGCCGTCTTGTGTGTCCAAGAGGGACCATAGCTCAGCTGAATTGAAGCCTAGGGCAGAAGAGGAGCATGCAGACTGTGCGAACGACATCGATATGGAATTAGACAGCATTTACCAGGAAGAGAAGAGGGCTGCTCCACCTACAGAAAACGATGTGTCACTCTCAGACCCTGGATCAGTCGCGCCCCAACCTGCCTCGCCTCAGACTGTTTCGACTGGAGAGGAAGCCCCAGCTGTGCCGCCCTCAAAGCTTTCACCACTGAAGAGAGCACGGGCCAACACTGCAGTCAGTGAGGAAGTTGAGACTCACAGCGAGGGCTCGGAAATTGGGTGTACAGACGCAACGACAGATAAGGACGCCGTTCGTAAAGCCTCCTCAACCCAGCAACGCTCAGCGCGACGAGAGGTAAAAATTTTACGACAAGGATCCAATTCGAACAGCTGCTCAGTGGCTTTGCCCGCAGCTAGATCGAAGCCAGCCAAGAAAGCTACTAAGCAACTTTCTCTCTACGATACGCTACGGGTTGAAGCCCGGCCAACCTCCACCGGACCGATGATCGGACCATCACAAGTTGAAGATGTCAAAATGAGATCAGTAAGCGCTAATGCGGAGCCAGCCCTCGTCTCGCCCAAGAAGGAAGCGCTGCCTATATCCTGGGCTGAAGTGCTACCGGCTGCGGAGTCCAGTACCGAAGCCGATTTTAGCGATATTGACATGGCTGAGATAGTGACATCGGAAACTGAGGCTGCTCAACATCAACCAACTACGCAAGACACATTGCATGTAACGAACAACGATGACGATGTCAGTATTACCGGAGTGAAGCCAACTGAAATGCACTATCCTCTACAGCTGTGGTTGGAGGCGTTGGGAGGGGAGGGTCTATCACCGACGTGGAGGCAAATGGCCAATGCGGCTGGTCAGCGCTTTTTGCTGCCATGCACAACATACACGAGGACTCCCTCCAACTGACCTCCAAACAAGTCGTGGAAGCCACCCTGATGAAGAAGAAGATATTGAACGTCCTCCTTGCAAAGTTTCAATACCTGGTGGATACCCGGGCAATTGACGTAAAGACAGAACCCGGAGCCACATACTTGGGACCACAAGAAACTGCAAAGGAACCTACTACGGAAAATCTCGCGCTCTACTGGGACGCGGAGCGTAAGCGTAATGTCGACGTCCCTGTGCCTAAAAAGTGCTGGGTAAGCCACACGGTACTTAAAGGGGCAGCTCTTTCCTCCGAGAACCGATTTACGTCGTTGATGTGCACGAAACTGGAAGTGCATATCTGGGCATGTACTCCTACAAGCCGAAGCCTGATGAGGACGGCAACAGTGCCGAGTTCCCGTACTTTGAAAATCTCAACACTGGCAATCCTGTACAAATGCTGAAAGACTTGCGTAGAGCAGAAGTACAACCAGTTGTCATAGTACTCAAGAGGGAAGGAGACAGTAAGCATTTCCAAGCGGTGACATACCCTGACAGCGCATCTGAAGGGCTGAACGATCCAAAGGCATACGACTTGATGGCAGGCCGCCATGACGACCTCCTGCATTCATACGGACTGACTCGGCCGCCGAGGGGCAACACGGACATAAGATCAATTACTCTGTCGGCAAATCACGCGGTTCGAAAAGCCCATAAGAGTCTCGCTTGTGTGAATGCACAGAACAATGAAGCAAAAGACTCCGAAGGGGCTGCGGGCACCGGTAATGCCAATGTGGACTTATCGGCAGCTTCGCCGAATCTCTAATGGGTGAAGGGGGATCGAGATCTCGACGAAGTCCTGTCCAGGCTTCGATCAGAGATTTTTACTCTAGAGTCCCTGAACAAGATCGCGCACGTCAGGTGCAGCATCTCTTTCAGCGCTCTCGAGTCAACCGAAGGACACGTATTACTTTTGATTTACCGCCACGACAAGCAACATCGCGTCGACTTGCCGCGGATAATTTTACATATGGACTGGCCACCTACAATGTTGGGGGCCTTGCATCTTATATTAACCAGCTACCCCAGCTTTTTCAAGGCCTGCGAGAACAACACCGGAATGGTGCCAACGACATAGTCCTCATGCAAGAAACATACCTGGATGTATCGGAGTCGGCATTTGCAGAGCGTCAGTATAAAGCTGTTTGGGGTTTCAAGGGGTTAGCCAAAAGCGTAGCCTCATTTTGGTCTCCAGCCCATGCAGGAAGTGCTTCCGAGCGTGCAAGGCATGGAGGGGTTGGTATCCTAGTTAACCCGTACGGAGCAGTTCGAGACGCGAGGCCGTGGAAAGAGGAGTTATGGACTGCATACCGTCAATTTATCCAGTGTAAACTGCAAGGAGGGAGCTGTTGGCGCCGGCAGACCCAAGTGCCAGAAAACAATTTTTTATTCAGCTGAAAGATGTCCCCGTGCCGGAAGGGGCTAAGGTGATCGCTGGAGGCGACTTCAATTGCGTGATTGACCGCACTCTCGACAGACGCACATCATCGCAGAAGGGAGATGCTGGACGTGCGCAACTACAAACTTGGATTGAACAAAGCAGTATTGTCGATGCGGTGGAGCAATTTAAACCTCGTCATATCAATACGATCACTAGAAACGCCTTCGCCAGCGAGTTCCACACGTATTTCTACAACTTGGCTCACAGGCAGAAAGGTTCTAGTCGAATTGATCGCTGGTACATCTCTGCTGAAATGCAGCAGTGGGTCAGAAGTGTTGAAAAGTGCAAGTGTCCCCTCGAATCAGACCACTACGGAGTCACGATGCATCTTCAATCGCCGAAAAATCCGATACGAATAAAGCGCCAATCGCCGATTTACCCGATGCCGATTTTCGTCACGGCCGCAGCGAATGACCTCATTGCTACAAGATTGACAGCCTTCAGCAAGGAGCTATGCTGCGAAGATGCCGGAGACGGTTCTGCTCTTGCAGCAAAGTGGGATCAATTCAAAGGAGATTTATGCAAAGAGCTCAAGCATCTAAAACGACAATGCAGACGCAAAGTGGCGAAAGGATTCAGACAGCGCATCCGACGAGTGATGCGGAAGTTACGCAATTGTGAGGCCGACCAACAATCCACGCTTTTCCTCAAACGCAATGAACTTCTCAACCAGCTGAAGGCAATTCGAAACCTTCGACGGAAAAGGTTAACGAGGAATCATACATGGAGTGATCGTTCATCGTCGAAGTTTTGCTTTCGTAGGATCAGTACTCGGTTTGGAGACAATATTATTCACCAGCTGAAGCCTGCGAGCGGAAATCCCACGCGAAACCCCAACGACAAAGCCAACATTCTTGCGGACGCATGGTTCCCCATTATGACAAAAGAGGACATCAGTTGTGAGGACATAGATGGCTACGTGTCGAGGATGAAGTCGCGTTGGGAGAAGTTCGATCTTTCCGAAATGGACGCCATCATCACAGAAGACGAGGTGGGGGCGGTAATAAAGAAGTGTAAGTGTGGAAAAGCAGCAGGGCCAGATAAGCTTGGGAATGATTGGTACAAGGACCACTCGGAGCAACTCCGCCCCATTTTGACTACTCTTTTCAACAAGTGGATGGATGCTGGTATTTTCCCAAGAGCTTCCAGCAAGGAAACATCTTTAGTATCAAGAAGAAAGGTGACCCAACGGATCCCCTCAACTATCGACCCATTGCGCTTACTACAAAGTGCTCACTAAATTTTTTACGAAGCGGCTACGGACTCGAATAGGTTCTCTGGTTCTCGACACTCAATTTGGTTTTGTACCTGGACGCAGAATTCACACTGCAATCGAACTTTTTGAGGCGGCCAAGAAGGTTTGTAACTCCAGCGCGAAGTATGCCAACGCGCAGGCACTTTTACTGGATTTCGCAAAGGCCTACGACACGTTAGACCGTCGGTTTCTACTGGCGGTACTCAAGGCCAAAGGCTTCCCGCCTAAATTCATTCAGCTGGTGGACGCAACTCATGCCGACACTTTCGCAATCTTCCTCGGCAATGGTTATCCGTCTGAGCCGATCTCCGTCACGCGAGGAATTAGGCAAGGGTGCCCTCTAGCCCCGCTCCTTTTCATTCTTGCGGTCGATCTGCTGTACGTTGAGCTGGAGTTCACAGCAGAAGAGTGTGGTCTGGATTTAGTGGGATTACAGGGCTCCTTTAGACTTCACGTAGCTGGTTACGCGGATGATACAGCTATTTACATTCGTGAGAAAGCAATGCAAGACAGAATCATCGCAGCTGTCAAGCGTTTTTCGGACGTCTCCGGGCTAAGAGTCAATGTTGCGAAGTCCGTTGCGATTCCGCTGAGCAATGCGAACCAAAATTCCAACACTACCGATAGCATTTCAGGACCAATCTCCGCCCAACCTGCGTGCAGGTATCTTGGTCACTGGGCTGGAACTCTGGGTACCACTGCTGAAGCCTGGAAAAGAGCTTTCTCGGCTCTATCTTCACGTCTTGCGTTGGCGATTGACAAGACAAACTCCGCTATGCAGCGAGTCGACATCGCCAATGCAATAATCTTGCCCAAACTGCTGTATGTAGCCCAGCATGCATGGCCGACATCGCGTATCGCCAGGGAAGCAGAGATGCGGATGCGAAATTTCATCTGGCATAGCTCCTTTGCACGACCAACAACCAAAATTTGTGGATAGGCAAGCTGCGAAGCCCTAGAACTACCACGGAAACGTGGGGGGTTAGCAATGCCGAACTTTCAAAAGGAGCTACACGCGCTAAGCGCCCATGTTGTGGGCGAGTGGTCTACTTCAACTTCACGTATTGTCCGAACTATCGGTGACATACTAGGCCCCAATGGGATTGATCGCCGTACCCATGTCTCTCCGAGCTGGAAGCTGGCGGCTCCCGTTACCATCCGAGATTCAATTCGAGCCACAGGCTTCCTTTGGGTCTCCCGTTCGATCACTCCCCACTATACAGAAGATATCATTACACTTCAGCAGGACATACGCTCTCGATGCCGAGCTGTCCACCAAGTCACGGCAAGATGGTGTGAAGGCGGACTGCTCTGTGATTTAAGGAGTTTGTTGGCTGAATCAAGGCGTTTGGCTCAACTTCAGGAAAAACGACTCGGTGCTTTTGCAGCTGAGGGTGTAAAACATCTCCCCGTCTTTGATTTACCGGTCTTCAACGATCCCGGTTACCTTGCTTCATTGAGGACGAAGTTTGGCCTTCTCGCAAACAGCGCGACCACTTTGGCGGAGGTTCTCGACTGGTAGTGGATTAGACCGGGAGGTTAGAGTCAATGTTCGGCTTCCACGGACAAGATGTCGAAGACGTTACAGTCGAACGAGGAAGGCTGCTTTTTCGGATCACGAGAAGGTTGCCTGAAAAAATTTGTAGGCAAAGTTTAGTCTTAAGAGGAAGGCTGGACAGACAGCCGAGCTCAGTTTCTCTTTTCCTCCGCTTCTCATCAACCTCCAGCCACCCCGACCTTTCGTGTTGCCTTACGGAAGCTGCCAGCAGACGACATTATGGCTACTTCGAACAAGTACGCGTTCTTCAGGCCGGACACCCTGGATACAGCGGGTTATGCCTATGGCAAGGCGATCTCGGAGGCGCAGAGAGGAAAGATTGAAGTGGAACGTGTGGCGAGAGGGCGGTGGGCCGACGCCGGGACGCTCGCAATTCAGCGAGAAGCCTCGGAATTGGAAATGCGCGCCGTGACAGAGGAAGAAGCATTAAGCGGGGTTGGGACGTACGTCGGGTGCGCCCTGTGCATTGCTCGGGTGCCCGAAGGACAGCCTAAGATATGGGATTACGGTGTGGTAGTGGGCTACACGTGGAATAAGGCCACTCATACAGGGGTGCTGCAAGTGACCTTCGTTGATGGAACAAG